TATTTATTGCCAACATGTTAGAAGCCTAATGGGTCTCACACACTAAGTAACTTAATCGAGACTAAATAAGGATAATCAATTAAGTTGGACTTAATTGAAATATACCAAAATAAACTGAAAAATTAATTAAGTTCACATAGACTTAATTGAATTAAAATACAATTATTGTATCTAAGGTAACAACTTAGTTTGGTGAGATAAATATGTTATATTATCAAATTAAAACTCTAAGCCTGTATTCACTTCTCAGCCTTTTCATAAAATAAAATAAAAAGTTTTCTTTATTTGACAAAAAAAAAATTCGACAAGAATTTTTAGTCTTTTTGTTTAAGAAACAAAACTTGCTAGCACAAGTAAAATCTTGTCTTTAAGAATGTCTTATTCAATTATTGTGTGAATTACTGTTAGATGTCAAATACTTAGGTGGTTGAAGATTTGACAAATCCAAAAATTGAAAAAGCAAAGATTTTGGTTGTAGGATTTTAAACCATTTTATTCTCTTTTCGGGGTTTCTTGCTTCATTACAAGCGTTTTTGATTTAATTGACTTTTAATTATCAAATCTAAAGTAAGGTATGTAACTTTTAAACTTATGAATATTTATAATTAATTAAAAAATTACATAAAAAATTTAATTTTTTTAATTAAATACTAATTTATTATTTTGTTACATTATATAATTAATTTGTTGATTAATTTCGTCGAATCCCAATAATAAATTCAAAAGTATTAATTTACTTCGCAATTATTAGTGAGCAAAGACCTCAATTATATGTCTTCACTGTTTTTGTCTATTACCAAAGAGTGGAAGTAATAATAGCTTTCTTGACTTGCCTCTAGCAACCAAGGCTTAATTCCTATGTCCACTTGCAGTGGGCGAGACATAGGGTTTTGATTCAAACACCAAAAATATTAGAACAAAGAGACAGGCCATGTATAAATCAAATCAATACACGAGAGAGCAAAGGGTGAGAAATTGAGGAATTACAAAGAATTAGTAACAATATGTGAAACAAAAACTATCTAGTAGTGCAAGATGAGGGAGCAAAACGCAATTTGCTCCCCTCCAAATCAAATTCCCATAAATAATTTTGTTGCATAATATTTCCAATAACTGATACGCTAGGAAAACGTGCTGGCAAAAATCCAAGACACCGAACTCCATCAGCAGCTGAAATGACATAGCTCCTCCAATGTGGCTCAAACCGAGCTCCATCTGCGAAGTGAATAATCAATTTTGGGACCAAAGTCTCGTCAAAACCAGTGGAGTTGAAGCAATACTCCATTGGTACCCCATGCAACTTCACTTGAGGGTATTTGGAAACAGACATCTTGATCGCCGCCATCACCGGCTGGTATGCTGGATCCGTCAACAATGTCAGACTAGTGCCAGAGTCAAGGATTGTTCCACCCCCTTTCCTTGTGTCCCATACTTGGAGTGGTATGTCCAACATTTTGCCACCAATGGAGATTCCCTGAACATTTACAGCATATGAAAGACTCACCAAATTGAGCTCTAGCCTGGTGCAGCGAGTGTTTCCCAATACTGTTAATTGCTTGTTATTTGCACCGAAGATGAGATAATTGGAGGCATTCATGTGGCTTAAGTGATCCACCAAGCAATAAGAGAACTTTCCACCCCATCTTTCCGCAGCTTTTGTTGCAAAAGAATACTTGCTATTGGCTAACCCCAGCACACCATCAACATTCTTAGGAGTGCCCTGGAAAGAGTCACTGCACCCAATTAGCACATCCTGTAGTCTCGCCATCCTACCATTTGTGAGGCCAACAGTGACGCTCTCGTTAGCGAAAACGCCCATTGTATCAGACCCATCCAAGTACCTGTTCAAAACAAGTTTCAAGGAAAACAACCAATCAGTCTACATTTTCAATTCCACGGGGGAGACAGATCGGACACGTGTCCCCACTACCCACTCTAGACTAGACTAGAGAGGGACTAGGATTTGCTTTCCCGAAAATCAGATTTAACCCCTGCGACACCATAAATAAATACGACCCCACTCCAGGACTACAAGTTCCTCTTCTGGTACAAAAACTGTGGGTCTTGTGAACCTTACCTACAAACAATAACTGCCATTAAAATCTTGTGTTGGGTGTAGTTAAGAGGGCAATGGGTTACAGTATCTGCAGGTAGGCTGACCTGCTAATTTAAGCTGAGACTAGTTTTCTTGTTTTCCCGAATCCATATTGAGTAGACTATCCAGACAGCTAATGAGTTGGGAACTTAGATGGGACATCGCCTAGCCCGTTTCTCTGCATTTAAAGCCCAACCACTCTTCAGGCTGGGACCTCAATGCGACATGCGACACAACTTTATGGCTGTGATCAAAAGAAGCTATCACCATAGCGGAGATAAATATCACAAAGAGCCAAAGTAGCTAGTAACTCCTAACAGCACTTAGCTTCAAAAGCTCTACTTCCAAAGCCAACTTTAGAAATTTAATTGAAAAGTCAAATACCGACCATTTTAGGTTGGACTAAACTCCATGGATAGAAAGGGACAAAACCGCAAACTACTTCAGTTGGATGTTCCCTTTCTTCTCCCCTCCACCTCCATAACCATTACTACACCCACTGTTATCCAAGTGAATTTGGATTTATATGAGCGAATTGAAGCAATTATCTATCCTCACAACTGGGAAAATAGAAAAATCTAGATCAGCTGAGGTCAACTATTACCAACAATTGTTTCTTGACGTACCATAAGTCACACTAACTCCATTTTTTGCTTCTCTAATCTAATCAAATTGAATTTCAGAATCAAGATTGGAAGTGAAGATACCTGTAATCATAAGCGCAGGGAGTAAGTGGAGTAGGACAGATCGTAAGAGAGAAGAGATTTCTGAGCTCAACTTTACACATCTGTGAAAAGCAAGGAATTGGCCTGAAGGAAGAAGATAGATGAGCGCGAAACACCCGCCCTCGCGTTATCCTCCGCTCCTGTTTGGTACAATTATCTCCTCGGGCACAGCGATATCTACAATTGATCCATGTTAAATCACTCCCTGTGTCCACGATCAACCTAAATTTCTGCGATGGCGTCCCGACTTTGAAGGTTGTAACGTATTGGCCTATTCCAAAATCTCTACCTGAGCTGAGTGGCATTTGAATGGCTGCATTGGCGTTGCTTGCTGTTGTTGTTGCTGTTTTGGGTGTCTCCCAGGCTTGGCGCCTGTTGTGGCGCATAAAGTCATGGTGAACAAGGTCCTTGAGGCGCTCGTGCTGAGTTTTAGGCCTAGCGTTGAGCTGAGGAGCATGCCTATGTATTAGCTCCAACTTGATGGAATCTTGAGCTTGAACAATGGAAAGCAAGACGATGAAAAGGAGGGAACTCAGCCACCCCTTCATGATTCAAGGCAAAACAAAAGAAAGGGGAGAGAAAGGAGACAGGAAATCAATTAGAGAGATTTGGGTTGTTTTTATTGCTTGGAGGACATGTAATGTAATCCAAGTTTGTTCTGGTTGTTTGTAATGAATACCGAAGCTCTGTTACAGAGCGAGACGCCTTTAATTCTCCAAGTGGGCTACGACTTATAAATAACCTCCTTTTGTTGCTTCAACTACACATTCCATCCCTCACCTCTCTTTTTGGCATACATTTTAGTTATAATAATTCCAACTAATTAATTGATTATTAATTTTTCAAGGTTGAATTCTTTGTCTCTCTCAAGTTTTTTTCTGGTTTTTTTTTTATTGTTCTAACTAATTAATTCATTTTTTTATTACAGTTATCTTTCTTAATTATGATAATAAATAGAAATTCAAAAGGTATATGAAGTGTAACAAACTGTTTTACCTAGTCTCCTTAGATGAAATGCTTGTCTATTAATATTTAATAACTTTAAATCATCGGTTAAAGTCTCTTTTCTTTATTGTTACATTTTTATTTAATTTTGGAGTATATCCTTCCTAATTATAATGTATAACATTTTTTCCAGATGGTTTATAACAATAACGCTTTTTCAATGCGTGCAATAACTTTTTTTCTTAACATGACATGTAATAATTTTTTTCTCAATATGACGTGTAACAATTATTTTTTTTCAATATGGTATGTAACAACTTTTTTTTCACGTACGCTTGAATATGAGAAAGTTTCATTAAAGGTAATTTTATCCAACAATCTTTTCTTTTGGCTAAAATAGTTGAAATCAGAAAAAGGGGTTATTTTCAAAAATTTCTCAGCTTTGAGGGCTAAATAAGAGTATCCCTTTTTATTTAACTTTGGAGTATATCCTTCTTAATTATGATAATAAATAGAACACCGACTATTAATCTAATACTATTTAATAACTTTAAATTGTCTGTTAAAGTCTGTTTTCTTTACTGTTATATTTTTATTTAACTGTGGAGTTTATCCTTCTTAATTATGATAATAAATACAATAGCAACTATTAGTCTAATAATATTTAATAACATTAAATCACCTATTAAAGTCTCTATAATAATACATGTTGTAGTGGTCATATTTATCATATTTTTTATTCCATAACTTTTTATAGATAAAGACTAAAGCAAGTTTATGTACCAAAAATTTCATACACAAAAAGTTATAGTTGATAGTTAGAAAATGAAGAAGTAACATTACGATAATTTATAATTATTTATTTAGTTACATAAAGCGGGGTGCGTCTGCAAATAAAAGTCAAATCACTATAAAGTTTTGACAAAGCTTCATAAAAGATGCACCGATTTCAATTATTAATAGGGCAAGTGGAATTCTATTTTCCATAATCTTGATCTCTTTTAAGATTCCTTATTATCAAATTAGAGAGCTAGCAACTAAGAAACCACTGTTTCAAAAATTAAGAGGCAATCATATGCAAACCAAAATCTCCAAGTCATGAGTAATTTTACTCAGTCCGCGGAAGGGGACGCTTCACTTTAGGTAAAGCATGAAGCCTGAAACCTATTGTAATAGTGATGTAACAATCCACTGTGTCGACTCGTGAAACGGGACAGCTGGATAACGACAAGTTCGGATTTAGTCAAATGGAATGTGGTGCAGCTTGGGATCCTTTTGGTTTTCCGCTGGAAAAGCAAAGAAGCGTGTTGTGAGGAATTAGGAAGATTGGAGTGAAAGCAAAGTGAGTGCCAGTTTGCACACACTAAACACCCGACTTCTTTTCAGCAAAATCTGGCCTTCTTGTTGCTTGCGCGCTTCGACTTTGAAAATCCTTGCAATCCGGTTGGGACAAATTATTAATATACTGGATTTAATCCTGTTTAGGCGGTGATTTTGTTCTAAGTCAAACATTCAAGGAGTTGAGTTGCTCTCTATTATCCAATCTGAACAAAGAATTTAGAAACCCAAGCTTCAGACAAAAAGAACAAGAAAATCAAAGAAAAACTAGTTTTAGCCATGTTCAGAGGCCTGACGGTAGTTTTTAATTTTTTTTAATTTTTATGTGTATAAAAGTCAGAATATATAACTTCACCATCCCTGAGTAAATTGAAAAAAAAAATTGATTAAGAGTAATTTATGTTAAATTTTGAATGCTTTAAGTTCAATCCCTGCTAAATTTGAATTTTGAAACTATTTTTTTTTCTTAACTCAAATTTTAGAATTATTTTTCTTCTTTTTTTTCTTTTTTCTCTTAGCTCATAGAGCTATGTCAATGTTAAAGGTAAAAAAAATCAGTTATATTTTTTTTCTTAGATTGTTTAATTGCATATAAATATGAATTGGAGCATTTTAAACTTAGATATTGGGCAAGATTCATGTTTGCAAAGCGTTTCACCTTTGTCAAAGCTATGCCACTTAATGTCAAAAATAGAAAAATCAATGGTATATCCTTTCTTCGATCATTTAGTTCGACTTATCTTAACTTTTTTAATTTTTATATCTATAGTAACTACAAAATGTGTATTTTCAATTAAAAAAAATTATAAAAACGAGATTGCATAATAAAATAGAAGATGATTTTTTTGCTATTTTAATTATTTTTTACATTAAGAAATAGATTGACCATTTACACAGATTTAATCATAAATGAATTTAAAAGCATGAAAGTGTCACGGGCCACATGTCACGGGCCACAGCCCAGACCCGCCAAGAGGCCCAAGAGGGTGCCAGCCCACCAAGACCCATGTAGGGTGCCAGCCCACCAAGACCCATGTAGGGATTTCCCTCCCAAATAGTTTTGGAGGGAAATCTTTTGGAGGGAAATCCTTTGGAGGGAAAATTTTGGAGGGAAATGGGTGGGGAACCTTGGCTATAAATAACCCCATCCTCCTTGTGTAAATCATCCAACACACTTGTATCTCAATTCATTCAATACAAGCTTAGTTTTTCTCTCTAGCATTCTCTTCCCATTTTTCCTTCCTCGTTTATGCAAGCTTGCTTGCCGGCTTAAAGCCATTGTGTGGGTGTTGAGTGCTTGTTGGGCGAGTGCTGAAGCACTAAGGCTGACTTGGGTTCTAAGTGCCAAGATAAGGGTTGAGCCCAAGGCCGCACGGAAGTTGATCTTAAGTATCGCCCCGTGACAAAAGCACCTGCTTATATTGAAAATCGAATATTATTTTTTTTTACTTTATGTCTATTTATATCAATGAATTTACAAATTTATATTTAAATTGTTAATAAAAATTTGATATTATAATTTAATTTCATTTTAAAAGTGATAATTTTTTACTTCGAATCAAATCATTATCTATGATTTTGTATGATTAGTCACCACTTTCTATACAAAAATCTAAATCTGCCACTGTTCATGATGCATAGAAAAAAACACATCTTAAACTACCTAATATATATTTTAGATTATTAATTAGGTTAGTTTCTATGCCTTGGATAACATTTTGATCCCTGTATCCCAATGGCTAACACGCACGCCTTTTAAGACACAAGGAAAGTTTATTAATTAGGTTATCTAATTGTAATGCAATTTGTGCTTTTTTGTTTTAATCGTTGGACATCATAAGCATTAGTCAAAAAGAATCATATACAAAATAGTGGAGAATCATATATTATCCAGAAGCTACCAAATAGAAAACAATCATATCGATAATGCATTAGGGTAAGATGAGGAGTTAGTTAGTTTGCCAAAATGTAATTAGTTAAAAGAAACAATTGCTAAAAAAATTCTTAATTGGTTCTTCTTTCATATAACATCTTCTTATTGGATGGATATAAAGGAAGCTTAGGGTAGGGCTTGCCCTTTTCTTATTAAAAAAAAAAAAATTTCTGATTTCGCAAGCTGGCTGCCTACCATGGCAGTGAGCCTTCTCTTTTTCCCAAAATGAATCTCCCCAAAGCAACTCCACTTTTAGCTAATGTCTAGGGGTTTGGCAGCAAGCACGCGAGAGGGGTTTTCAAAACCTTCTTCCCACTTATGAAGTCGACGAAAAATAAAAACCAAAGGGAGATTAGAGAGAGGAGAACCCTAAAATTCTAATAGTGCCATACCAACCAAAAAAAAGCCCATCCACAAAATCTAATCAGCAGACGAACATCCCGAGAATACCATAACGAGAACGGAAAGGGGAGTTTCAGCAGCGGGTATTCTAAGGATCCTCTAGGGTTCTTGGTTTCGGGTCTTTTAAGGGAGTCTCCAGGTTGTTTGCTACGGTGAAAAGGAGAACAATGGAGGAGAGAGGGCTGTGGGGTGCAACAGCACTGTGGAAATGTAGAAAATAAGGGCGGTTCTTGGAGATTTTAAGAAACAGGAAGAGGAAAGGGGAGACAAGAAGAAGAGGCTATGGATTTAGTTTTTTTGGGTAGCAACATGAAGCCCCAAACGGTGTAGTTTTCGTGAGTAAGGGAGAGAAAGACAAATGAACGAAAAAAAGGTCAAAAAGGACAGAAAAGAGAATAAGGAAGCAAAGGAAAGAACGAAAAACACGACAAAAAGAAAAGAAAAGAGAAAAAAAGTGAAAAGCAAAGAAAAGAGAAAATAAGGATTTACGTTTTAAAAAAAATAGAAAAAATGAATAATGGGATAAGGAAAGGCGTCATGTTGAAAGCGTGGCTGGCTGGCTGGCTTGCTTGGAGGTCCAGGTTGCACTCCGAGCAAGCGCATTGAATTTTTGGAGAAGAAAAACAAAGAGATGAAGTGGGGCGCACGGCCCAGAGAAAATAAAAGAAGCGAAAGCCCAGCGGGGCAGGAAAAGCAAAAAACGAATTATCTGTCCCAAGTGAGGTATGCTTCGTAGCCTGCTTCTTTTGTTAGTAAATTTACCCTTGTTATTTTGTTTAGGTATTTTTACCATGGTTGATAGACCTTTTGTATTTTAGAAAAATATAAGCTACGAAAATGATAAAATTGATGCTTAAAAAAATATAAAAAAACTTAGAATTAGGTTATTATGTAATGAAAATGATCTTATATTGATCCTTCTTAGTTAATATTGATGTTGTATAGACTCCAAAGAAAAAAGAGAATCACAATTACTTTAAAGATGATGTTTCATAAGCTTCCAAATGTACATAATTCAACTACAATCATAAAACATACATATTATATATAGACACTTGCAATCTTGCACGTGCATATTCTTATGAAGCCTTTCTTTTTCT